CCCCCAAAACCCACACACTTCAATGTCATCGATTGTCAATTATACTATAGAACCAGAACATCGAATCATGAATCCAATCAAAAACTAATATATCTCATTCTCAAATCAAAATAAAAACAATGAATGCCTATCAACTGAAATCATAAAAAACAAACAAAACACACAAAACCATATTCAAACAAGAACTACTCACATACAACTTCAATCCATATCTTCTGGAAAATTCCTCCATCTCCTTTCCCCGCTGTCGTGCGCAGACCCACCTGCATCAAAAGGATTCCCCAGATATATTCTAAAAGTCCTGTGAACAGGCCTGTTACTCCCCCTTGCACTTGCACCGCCATTGTCGCTGCCACCACTATCTCTCCCACTGGACCTCGACCCATCACCGGCGTTCCCCTGCGTCCGATTCTCGTAATCGGCGTCGTTTGTGGGCAATTCGTACCGGCACACGGGGCAAGAGTTGTGCAGGCGAAGCCAGGGAATCAAGCAGTCACCGTGGTACACGTGTCATTTGTATGTAATTTGGTCTATTAAAAACATATGAATTATCTGGTATTTTATTAATTGGCAGGTTTTGTTCAGGGATCCTCATAAAATAAGTCAAATATTTAAAAAAAAAATTAATCACTTTTAACATCGGTCATGCATTGACCGATTTTAAAAGTCCCACTTTTATAATCGGTTAACAATGATCGATTTTAAAAGTCTCACTTTTAACATCGGTCACTGTTGACCGATTTTAAAAGTGGGACTTTTAAAATCGGTCATTGTTAACCGATTTTAAAAGTCTCACTTTTAACATCGGTCAGCGACCGATGTTAAAAGTCCCACTTTTTAAAATCGGTTAGAGAACCGATTTTAAAAGTAAAAAATGACCGATTTTAAAAGTGTTTTTTCCACTAGTGCCAAAGAAAGACTATTATTTGATAGAACTAATTGTCAATATTTGATCATTGCGACGAGAGTATCAATTACAAATTAATTTCTTTGTCCAAAGACTAGAAATTAATGTTGTGCTAGGTATCTTGTGATGAGTCCATCATGTAAAATATTTTCTTATTTTACTGTATATAATTTATGTGATTTGCTTAGTGATTTGCAAACATGTCATTAACATTATATATGTTCTCTATTTAGTTGATATTTCTACTATTGCAAATGTTACTACTTGAGTGAATTCAATCCCCATGCTTAATGGGACAAACTTTAATGTCTGGAAGGAAGCAACTGAGATAGTTCTTGGTTGCATGGATCCTGATCTAGCACTTGGGATTGAGAAACTCACTCTAACTCTAGAGAACTTGCAAGAGGATAAGATTAAAAAATGGGAATGCTCAAACTGAATGTGCCTAATGATCATGAAATGATCTATTCTAGAAGTTTTTTGGGGCTCTACTTTTTAGAGCTAAAGCCTATAGGTTTCCTTGATACTATTGAATAGTATTTCACCAATAATGAGAAGGATGATGTAAGTAATTTGCTTGCCAAACTTATCACTATGAGATACAAAAGCAAAGGAAACATAAGGGAGTATATTATGAAAATGTCTAATATTGCGTCAAAACTGAAAGTACTAAAGTTAGAGCTGTCTGATGACTTGCTCGTGCACTTAGTTTTAATTTCCCTTCCTACACACTTTGGGAAATTCAAGGTGAGGTATAATACTCAAAAGGATAAATGGGTTTTGAAAGAACTCATTTCTCATTGTGTGCAAAATGAGGAAAGGTAACAAAGAGAGAAGATTGAAAATGTTCATTTGGCCTTAAACTCTCAGAATAAGAAGAGAAAGAACAATAAGAATGTTGGGTAAATGACTTCTTAGCAAAAAAAAGTCAAAATGAATGAGAAAATACCTACATGTTTCTTCTGCAAGAAACTTGGACATATAAAGAAGAGTGTTTTAAGTACACCTCATGACGTGCAAAGAAAGGTAATTTTCTCTCTTTTATTTGTTCTGAAGTTAATTTAGCTTTTGTACCAAATGATACTTGGTGGATAGATTCTAGTGCTACTACTTACATTATTATATCCATGCAAGGTTGCCTTTGGAGTCGTCCACCAAGTGATAATAAAATATTTATCTATGTGGGTGATGGAAATAAGGTCATAATGGAGGCTATTGAAACATTTGGATTACAATTAAAAACTGGATTTCATTTAGATTTATTTGAGACTTTTATTGTACCATATTTTACACAAAAGTTGATTTCTATTTCTAGTTTGGACAAAATTGGTTTTTCTTGTTCATTTGGAAATAATAAATTTAGTATCTATCAAAATTAAAATGTTGTTGGTTCTGGTTTCTTGATTAATAATCTATATATGCTTGATGTTATTAGCTACTATAATGAAATATTGCAAATAAGTTCACGAGGAACAAAATGAAAATTAAATGAAAACTTAGTCACCTTATTGCATGTGTCAGATGAGATTCTTGGACCCTTAGACTTGTCAAACTTTGAGGCATGTGTTGATTATATTAAGGGTAAACAAACAAACTCTAGAAAATTAGGTGTTGAAAGGGCTAAGGACGTTTTGGAATTAATTCACACCAATATCTGTGGACCATTCCCTACGATATCTTGGAATGGACAACTATATTTCATTATATTCATAGATAACTATTCAAGGTACAACTAACTATTTTATGAGAAGTTTCAATCCATAGATGAGTTCAAATCTTTTAAAGCCGAAGTTGAGCTTCAACTTGGAAATAAAATTAAGGTCGTCACATATGATAGTGGAGGTGAATATTATAATATGGATCAGGTGAACAACATTTAGGGCCTTTCACGCGTTTTTTTTTATGGGAATGTGGCATTGTTCCTCAATATACTATGCTTGGAAAACCAAACATGAATGGTGTTGCAAAACATAGAAACATGACTTTTAAGGATATGGTAAGAAGTATAATTAGTATTCTTCTTTGCTAGAGTCATTGTGTGGAGAAGCACTCGAGATTGTAGTTTACATCCTAAATAGGGTACCATGTAAAGCAATTAACAAAACTCTATAAATTATGGACTAGTAAAAGGTGAAGCATAAAAAATTTACATATTTAGGGTTGTCCAGCTGGGGCACGTTCTTATAGTCCACATGAAAGCAAGTTGGAATCAAGGATGGTTAATTGTTATTTTGTTGGCTATCCTAAATGCTCTCGGGGCTATTAATTTTAAAATCCCACTACTAGATCATTCCTTGAGATGGGGAATATGAGATTCCTCGAGGATGTTGAGTTTGGAAAAGAAGGGAACATGAGGAATGTTGTATTTAAGGAAAAAACTGTCTTTTATAGTAATCAATTCCTCGTGCCTATTACTATTTCAATACCTACCCCAGTTATAGATGACAATAATGAAATTATTCCTAACATTGTCCCGACACATGACGACAATGAGATTCTTTCTCAAATACCCATAGAATAAGCTCAACAAACTCAAGAAGTGTCATTAATGAGAGCTACTAGAGAAATGAGTGTTAAGTCAAACGAAGACGAAGCAATCACTAGTGGAAAAAAGACTTTTAAAATCAGTTATTTTTGACTTTTAAAATTGGTTCTTGAACCGGTCTTAAAAGAGCCGATTTTAAAAGTTAGACTTTTAAAATCGGTTGTTTTATAACCGATTTTAAAAGTCAGGATGTGGAAAAAAAATTAAACTGGAACGGCCGTTCCAAAACCGGAACGGTCCGTTCCAGTCTGATCGGAAGGCCTAAAAGGCCACTTGGAGAACGGCCCGTTCTCCAAGCAGAACGGCCCGTTCTGCTAGGAGAACGACCCGTTCTCCAAGTAGAATGGCCCGTTCTACGAGGAGAACAGTCCGTTCTCCAAGCAGAACAACTCGTTCTGTTTGGAGAACGGGTCGTTCTCCTTGCAGAACGGGCCGTTCTGCTTGGAGAACGGGACGTTCTCCTTGCAGAACGGGCCGTTCCAGTTTCGAACACAACTAGATCTACAACACAGTAACGAGAAATCATGAAAAAATGAAAAGAAACACAAGAAGAACATGAAAAGACGAAAATGAAAACGAAAGAGACAACAAAATTTACCTTATTGGAGACTAAATGAGAGCTTCAGGGAAAGATTGAAGAAAATGAGAATGCAGGGGAATATAAAAGATTTCTGACGATACTTTTAAAATCGGTTCTGGAATAACCGATTTTGTATACTACATACAAAATCGGTTTTGAAATAACTGATTTTAAAAGTAGTAGTTTTAAAATCGGTTATAAAAGAACCGATCTTAAAAGTACTTTTATGATCGGTTAAATTTCAACCGATCTTAAAAGTGTTCATGTTATTTACAAAATTGCCACCGCTTCACTTTTAAGATCGGTTATCTTGTAACCGATCTTAAAACTCCGATTTTAAATCCAATTTTTACACTAGTGAATTCCTAGCAAGGTTTTGAATGAGACAAATATAATATACATGTTGTATTTCTAACAAGAAGTGTAGTAGTGTTTCATATATGTATAAGAGAAGGGAAAGCTAAAGTATGAAGCTAGGTCAAGCAAAACAAGGATCCGACAAAACAAGCATATGCATCAGACGATACAAGACGACAGTCGGAAGCTTCATATAGATAAGTCAAAACAAAGCTTCAAGCATCGAACAAATACGAGTCAAAGCAAAAGAACTCAAACAGAAGGTTGGTCAAAGATCAAAAAGAAAGTCAACTGAATAATCAGATGAAGAATAGTATATACTGATAAGCATTTCAGACAAAAATGAAAGTTTGACCATATACAAGTTGACCAGACAAAAGGAAAAGTCAATGTGTTAATGACAAATGCTTAGACAAAGGTCAAGGCTTGAGCTACGTATAGACTACTAGACATAGACGAAAGTTGTCACGCAACCACTTGAGGAATCAAGTTTCAAAGGACAATTTGAATATCGTCCACACTCACAAGAGAACACACGAAGTCATCAAAATTGTGAGAAGAAAAGAAGAAAGGAGAAAATCAAGCGCAGAACTAAAAGCATGCATGTGTCAGAAAAAAGTGCATTACTTTTTCAGACAAGGACAAAATTCCACAACTATGTGACCTGAAAAAGGACAAAAAGGTTCCTAGGTCTCTGCTAAATTTAGACACTGCTGCTACCAAGACAAGAAATACTTCATGCAAGGTTTATCCCAGGAAGCAACATTAAATGCAAGAATCTGAGTATTAAATGAGAAGATCAAATTAGTCGTGAACGACTATATCTGCTTCAACAGACACTTGTAACGGCCAGATTTCACAAGACTATATATAGGTCTCAACATCAAACCTTAAAAGGCTGGCTGTTTGGCCCGAAATGGTTCAAACGAGAAAAAGAGTGATATCCAGCCCATGA